TCCGTCTAAGATCGGTTCATATAGATTATTCTTTTATCTCCTTTTTGTTTTGCAATATATGGGGAATTATTGAAAAATAGAGGTATTGCAAAATCTAGAATGTGTTTCACTAACCTAGAACGTGTTCCACTAACCTAGAAGTGCTCCATTCTCTCATGTTTCCAGGCCACAACCACCCATGATATTGAATACGGATATGAGTTTGTTGTTTATACTACATCTATAAATAGATATCTCTACACTCCTGTTAAGTGGTAAAAAGTTGATATAATTATGCTTTGAATTGTTATGAAACTACTTAACTTATGTTAATTTTAATATATTTTTCTTCCAATGTAGGATGAATTCGAGAGTACCTGGATACAAGAGTAAAGAGCAAAATTGTCAGCATAATTGGAGTAAAACTGGAAGAAGAAAGAAGATTTTCAATATGGAAGTCGCTCGAGCGAGATGGACTCTCGCTTGAGCGAATATCAGTTATTCTTCTCTGGAATTCAGTCGCTCAAGCACAAGTAAATTTGTTTGAGCAAATGTTAGTTATTCTTCTCTGGAGTTCACTCGCTCAAGCGAGCATTTTGTCGCTTAAGCAAAAATAGGAAACTTTCGCTTGAACGAAAGTTGTCGCTTGAGCGAAAGACGCGAGACCCAATTTTTCCTATAAAAAGATAAGATGTGCTTTGAGAAAAACAAGCGGTTTTGGGAAGAAGAGGTGCGACTACTGTTAGGGTTTCATCCAATCTTCATCAATTCTTCACTTTTTCTTCATTTGGAGCATTGTAATGGTCAACATGAGTGACTAACTTTATTTTCTTGGGATTTGGTGCACTTCCTTTGAACTCTTTTGTATCATGGTGATATTTTGAGATATTAATCCATGTTTTGATGTTGTTATTCTTATCCTTTGTGCTTTAGAATGATTTATCCTTGATGTTTGGGATATGATTGGAAAATATATTTTGAACCCTAAATCACGGTAAGAATATTTGATATGTTAATTGACAGGAATGAAATGAATATATCAATTGCTTAACACCCTAAACCTAATGTTAGAAAACCTCTTAATTGTGTGAGGAATCAACATTTATTAGATTTTTTTATGAATTTCATGTGTGAAAAATCAACATAGATGATTTGAGTATGTGACATCAACATTGTTAGGTTAATTGATGTTCTTAATTGACATAGTCATTACATAAGAAGGAAAATGAAGGAAGTCAATCCTAAGTGCCTTTAATTGATATTTTCTAAATAATTTACAGTTATTTGTCATTTAATTTCAGTTCAACTCTTTATGTCAAGTTCATTTTGTTTCAATCCACTTAGTAAACATATAATTGGGAATTTTCATTAAAACAATTCCTCATGGGATCGACTTTTATTTAATCGAAATATTATACTCGCGATTGATAATTTTGGTACGCTTGTCAATAATTCAACAACTCCTCCAAGAGACACACTTTTATTTTTACTCATCTTCTCTTATCTCCTTTTCATTCTATTTTATCTTGGGTTTATTTGTTCTTTTTTAAGAGTTTCTTACTAATTTTTGAGATCTCAAGAATTTTCGAGAAATTTCTATTATATCGTGAAGAACTTATGTAATACATCGCGGATAAGTCATTGAGGACAATGATTATACACGCCTCAAAAATCAAGTTTTGTTCTTGTCTTTATCAATATTTAGAACAAATATTATGTTATTTTTAAAATTCTATATATATAATTCTCTTTTATATTTTTTATCTAAAAAATAAAAGTGTTATGATGAATTTTTTTTTATTATGATTTATATATTTAAAATTTAAAAACAAATAATAGAAATATTAGAGAAATATAATATATAATTAATGGAGAAAAAAATATATACTTAAAGAGTAATTTAAAAAAAATTATTATAAAAATATGAAAGAGACTTTTTTAATCAATTTTTCATCAATGAAAATATAAAAATATTATAATTTAAAAATATAGTTATTATAATTTATATATTTAAAAAGTAATAAATAATGAGAGAAAAAATATAATGCATAATTAATAGAGAAAAGAAAAGATATACATTTAAAAAGTGAAGAGAGAAAATAAAATAAAATATTCATAAAATAATTTTCAAAAAAATTGTGGATGCGCTTTAGCATCTATATTTCTATATTAATTTTTAATTTATTATAAACAAGAATTTCACCTCTAAAGACAAAATGAAAAATATGTTTTATACTTTTATAATTAATGATTATAATATATTAAAATACATTCTTTCAAACTAACTGAACTTAAAACTAATATTAAATAACTTTATTCATAATATATTAATATATTTTGTCACTAATCATTCTTTACTACGAAAATATAAGTAGTTATAAAATAAAAATTATATATTAAAAAAAACTAAAAATAAACATATTGATATTTGTATATACTAAAAACTACTTATACTTGTACATAATATACTAATATATTTTTGTCACCAATCATTCTTTACTAAGAAAATATAAGTAATCATAAAATAAAAATTATATTTTATAACTTTATTTAAATTATATTATAAAAAATTAAAAATACTCTTCATAAACTAAAATTAAACATAATGATATTTGTACATACTAAAAACGATTTTAATCTTTATAAAAGTAAAATAATTAAATTCCCGTATGAAAAGATTTGCATTAAGGCGATGCATAATTTATTTCTTATAACCTAAGAAAGGAAAAAGCATTAAAATAGTGTAATTTTAAAAACAAATTACTAATTTGAGTAATTTTTTAAAATATTATTGTATTTGATAGAACACATAATAAAAAAAATCGTGCTATCAAAGACCAATATAGTTATTATTTTTTTTAACATTTTTAAAATTTTTAAATTTTTATTTTTAGTGAAGTCGTGTTACACTTTTATATATCTAAATATATATGATAATTATTTATATTTTTTTATTATTATAATTAAATTTATTATAAAATAAATAAATAAAATGATAATAATAAATAATAAATAAATAATATTATTATTCATTACAAATATTATTATTATTATCATTAACTAATTATAATAATAATATTACTAATAATTATAATAAATAATAAATATAATAATGATAAGTATTAATTAATATATCTAACTTTTATCGGTAATATTATTTTTATTTTTATTATTAATATCATGATTACTTATAATTTATTATTAAATTTATCGTAATTATTTATTCATAATAATAAATTTTATTAATAATTACATTAAATTTTGAAAAATTCATTAAATTATTATTATTATTAAATAAAAATTAACATTAAAAAAATAAAAGGAATTATTAATTAAATTTGTTTATTAATACTTATTATTATTATATTTATTATTTTAGAATTTAATAAATTATTAGTAATAATAATTTTAATATAAAAATAATAATTGTAGTTATCTAGTTAATTAGTAATAAATACAATAATAATAATAAAATTAATAATAACAAGTAATAATTATCTAGTTAATTAGTAATAAATATAATAATAATAATAAAATTAATAATAACAAGTATTAATGAAAATTTTTAGTTAATAATTTATTTTATTTTAAATCTTATTGTTTTAGTTAATAATAATTAATTTTTAAAATTTTTAATGTAATTATTATTATAATATTTATCATTAAAAAGAAATAATTATGATAATTTTAATAATTAGTGATAAAATTAATAATGATATTAATAATAAAAAATATTAATAAAAATATAGATAAAATAGTTAATACTTATTATTATTATAATTATTATTATTAATTAATGATAATAACAATAATATTTATAATAAATATTAATTGTTTTATTTTATTATATTAAATTTATTATTACTAATAAATATAAATAATTTATATATATATATATATATATATATATATATATATATATATATATATATATATATATATATATATAAGTGAAGTCGTGTTTCTTTCAACTTATCCATTTATATAAATTAAAAAAAAATTACTCAAATCGGTAATATCTTTTTAATGATTTTTCCCTGGAAATTATTTAAACTATGTGTATCAGCAACCTTTTCCAAGATTAAAACAAAAAGGTTAGATGGAAGGTTAGATTAGAGAATATTCATGAATCCCTGCGTTGGAACTTGGACAAATCTTATACATTTCAAAATGTTCAAAAATAGAATAATGCTATTATATAAACTTTCACCCCATGAGATTGGTCTTTTTGATCATTCAACCTAAAATATTAAAAAAAAAAATAAATTAAATTAAAAAATATGTGCGAGACCAAATTAATTCATAAAAATAAAAATAAAATTATTTTATTAAAAATATATAAATATTATAAATAATTTAATAAAATATTTATTTATTTTAACATAAATATCAAATATCTATTACTCTAATATTTAATAATTAAGATAATTAATCTTTTATATTAACAAATTATTTAAAAAATAAATAAATTTAAGACTAAATAGATATATTATATTATCATTTATATATTAAATTATTATATATAAAAAATAAAAGATAATTTTATTAATATAATTTAAATTTTAAAAATAAATATATTTTTAATTTTAATTAAATATTTTTTAATCAACAATTTTAAATAAATATTTTAATAAATTTTTAAATTTTTAATCAACTCGATAACCATTAACTTAATATGAAATTAAAGTAAATTAAAAATTATGATTTGTTTTAAATATAGGATAAATTAACTAAAAATTATGATTTATTTTAAAAAATAGCAGATGTCCAAGATCCGTAAATTCAGTTTAATAGCCTGTTTTGACAGGCATGTGAGATAATCTCAGGAGAAATTCTATTCCAACCTAATTAACAAATAAAAATGCAAATAAATCATCTACCAAAAAAGATTCAATTCAATGAACCAATCAAAGTTGAGGGAGTTCATGAACACTAGAATACATCCATATTTATCAGATAGTGTAACTTATGTATACACACAAGAGCATTGAGCTCCGATGAGATTTCTGAAAACGCACTCATCATGCTTCAACATCACTTGCCTTCACAAATCTCCCTCTCACCCTTTTTCTAGTATCAGCCCTGGCCTTTCTTGATTCATACCGAATGTGCTTATCGTACCTGCGTAAAGGATGATGCACCAACTTTAAAATAAAGATCAAATAAATACCATCTTTCTCAAAATTAAATCACTCCATGTTGCCTTCCATATATTATATATATATATATAGAAAGGTTTCTGAACATACATTCTTTTGCATTTGCTACATGTGTGAAAATTTAAAGAGTTCAATTTTTATCGATAGTAAGAAATTTTTACATTGTCAATCACTATGAACCATGGTATCTATGAGTTTTAACTTAGTTATTATCAAAGTAAAAAAACTTTACTAGTTATTATCAATTTGTCCTTTGATGATAAAAATCATTACAGTTAATACATATGTTATGTACTTTATGTTAAAAGGAAATGTACCGTCGAGTTTTCTTCTTCTCCTTGTAGCGTAACATTGCATCACCTCTATTCTTAGCCAACTCTTCCAAGCTCACCCTGGCTTTTAAGGTGCTGACATTGTCATTCCCACCCACAAGATGTTCCATGACTACGACATTGTTGGTGGCACTGTAAGGTATGGATTCTAACAGTTTCGACTCTGATGATAACCCACCTCTAGCTTTCTTGTTGCTTTCTTCTTTCTTCTTTGCGTGGCTTGATGATGACTGATCCGATTGGTTCTGCAATTTTTTTAAGTATCAATATTATTTACTGGTTCTCCACAAATAAAGGTTAAACCAAGCATGAAATAGAAATATCTGACAAACAATGAATGAGAAAGGCCAAATCGTAGTGGAACTTTACTGTAATGATTGCGTAACAGTTTATAAGACAATAAATTGTAGAAATTACTCATGTCAAACATGGAAATAGAGGTTATTACATATTATCATACACTCTGAAAATCATCTAGCACTTGAAAATGAGAAGTATGATTCCACCTGCGGATTTCAAATGATATGGATGCAGCTGTTAAAGTTTAAACTACAGACAAATAAAGTTGGAAGACTCTGCATCTTGAGCAATTAAAACTTTCCGTCCTCTATTGTCCCTCCCCATGTGAACTCTGTACTCTAAATCAAAGCTATGAAGGCCCACAGTTTTGTCAGTATGTTCAGATTTCAAAGCTACTAACCCACTTATGTTGCAACTTTCTTTTTCAACATTGATTTCTTTCAAAAAAGAAATCCACAGGTTCATTATAATTAAGGTCTGTCAGAATCTCACATATTTCTCAAAATGATTGGAAGACAAATAACCCACCCTATAGAGCATTTGCATACTCCATCAACCTCCTTAGAGAGCCCGAATCAATTGCATTACCCATTCAAAACCATTTCACCACACTCCCTTTAACAGTTGCAATCCAATGACTCTCACTTTACAATAACAGCAGACTATAACTTCTTGAACAAGCCTGTAATTTGTAAATTGCGCGTATTAAATCAGAAAGCTCCATTAACACAAGCGAGCAAGTTTTATAATCTGGAGGCGAACTCCATTAACTCACAATACATCAAGCTCAAGAACACACTTGGCAAAATTTGAAAATCATTTAGCACGAGCAATGGCTTACATTTCTTGATAAAATATCATCACCGATGGTCGAGTAATTCATATTGTGTACATCCTGAAATGATTTTGGAACTTCTAGACCATCAAATGTCACCAGTCTTGGTTCATCACAATCTCTTGATTTCTGTAATTGAAAATCCCACACCTGCATATAAGAATAAAAAAGTAAGCACTAATTATGGCATAAATATCACGTCCAAGCCAACTATTGCATATTTAAAATTTAAACGTGCCCGGGTGTTGATTGGACCAGAACACCATAATAAATTCAACTGGTACAATGTTACACAAAACGAACCTAACTACGGGACAAAGATAAGAACCCAAAAACAAACACAAGTATAACTGAAAAATCGTTTTCAAAGTGTGCCTAATTCAGGTTGTTTACCAAAAGCACATTTTTTTTTCAGTTTGCTGAAAACATAACAATTATTTCTGATAGAAAATAGTTGTCAAACAGGAATGATGTCAAAGTGAAAAGGAAGTTGTTAGTGCCCACATAGATTTCCTCAATCACGTAAAAAGTAAACAAAAGAAAGATAGTTACCAAAATTACAGTGCAAGATGGCATAAAGTTAAATGATAAACAATGCAACCTTCTGCCTAACTAGAAGGTATTAAGTATCCATCCACATTGCCATTGTGCAATCAAATTTGCGGAAAAAAAAAAAAAAACACAAAATCCAGCTATTAATTGAATTCAAAAGTAACCAAGTTTTCCATCCAATACCTAATACAATTTAAGATTGAAACTAAAAGACCACTAAGTAATATGAATGGAAATTAGTCACCACCAAACCTAGAATATTAGATTTAATATTGTGAATATAAGCTAATATTAACCATTATCCTAAGTTACAGGTTAAGCAGTTAAAAAATATCTTTCCTAATATTAACCATGCATGGTGGACCGTATCCCAAAGCCGAGGTGAAGCATAACTACGCCCTCTTTCACCACTTCTCACCACTTCTCCTAAGAAAAAAGAAAACATTTTTACTTCCTTAGCTAATAGTTAAGAGAGTCTAGCTCCCTTGAGTAAACCACTGCGTGAGTTTTGTAAACATCCTATCATATGTTGAATGCATTACCCTGTATACATAATGTGTTTGAATATAAACTTTTTTTTTTTTTTTCATTTTGCAAAATTTGGAAACCTGAGGAGGCTGATAGTTGGGATCAAAACTCCAGAGAAGATCTCCTTCTTGGGCTCCGTAGCCGTTATTGTTACTTTTGGCGGCGTCAAATTCAGATTGAGAATCGGACATCCCGAGCAAGGACGTGAATGGCGTCTGCTGCAGCAGCATCTCATCGACAACGTCGTTTTCGGAGTCGAACCTGAGTTCCAAGCTTTCAGCAGGAGCAAACTCGCCCTCGTTCCTCGTGCGTGCGACTTCGAGGACCTGCTCGTAGACCTCGTGGCGGCACTTGGCATGGCGGCGCCGGAGATCGAGGCCGAGGGTGGAGGCAATCTCGGGGACGGAGGGGCAGCCGGAGAGACCGCGGAGGCGGTGGCGATGGTGGAGGGAGGCGGGGGCGGGGGCGTGCGCGTCGAGGTCGCAGCTGTGGCAGAGGAGGAGGTTGTGGGAGGAGCAGCTGACGGCGGCGTTGTCGGCGTTGCAGGTTTCGCAAATCTGGAAGCGGAGGTGCTTGAGGGAGAGGGCGTTGGCAGCATGGACGTGGTGGTCGCAGAGGAGACAGAGTTTGGCGGAGTCGGGTCTGCAGAAGAGTAAGGCGGGTTTGGAGTGGCAGTAATCGCAGGGCAACATGGTGGTTGGTGTGTGAGAGAGAAGAGAAGGGTTGTGTTGTGAAGTGTTAGTGAGGGGAGGAGCACATGATAAGCATGGGGAAGGTGGAGACGCAATCTGAAGTGAGGGATGGTGGGGACAGAGAGGAGGTGGAATCGAAAGATATTTGGTCACTTTTTTTGGCTAAGCCTGTGTTATGTTTTGTGAGTGTGTGTTTCATGCATGTGCGTGAGCCAGCTCCTTTTCCACCTCTTTTCCTCTGCAACCTTCCCTCTTTCCATGCGCTTTTGTTTTCGAGAAACCTTGCTCGGGGCGAGCGTCTCTCTTCTTCCTTCTGGCCCACTTCCACACTGGGCCGCCCCATTCCACTTTCTCCACCGCCCCATCACTCTCTTCTCAACCCATCGCCACTTCATCTCCTACCATTCTTTATCCCAAAATTCTTTCCTTCCAAAAAAATAAATTAAGTAACAGTGGATGATACAAAATATCATAATAATTACAATCCTATCTCTAAAACAATTATATTATCAGTTTCTCATAGGCACCAATTACATTCTTATTTATACATTTGGTAAATCAAAGTTAAAAAATTGAAATTAAAAAAAAAAAAAAATACTAACTTGTTGTGGTTCCATGAGTTATGATCATGAAAACTTTCACTAACTCTTCAAACAATAGATTTGAAAGATCAAGTCTCCTCAGGGAGGAGTTAGTTGACTATACCCCTATACGATCTTTGTATATAGGAGATGTTTTCAAATGATCAAATCGAAGAAATGATCACAACCAAATATGAAAGAAAAAAACAAGGGGATAGAAAAAGAACATAAGATTAAGGATATTCACTTCTTTTATTCCTTTTTATCCTCTGTTCCTTAAATTTTGTCAAAGTAAATTAACCTTAGATAGCGCGAAAGATATTAATAATTCACATGCGTTTGAAACTTAAAAATAAGAAAAAATAACGTGGTTTGTAAATCTAAGTCAATTTTTTTTTCTCAATTTTATTAATTTAAATACCGTTCCAATATAATTTTTATAACTAATAAAAAAAATCATAATTATATACGCGAGAATATAATGTTGTTGGCCCATCACGTTTGATCTCCATACAAATATGTGCATAACGAGAAGATCATCCAAATATTGACGATTTCCTCTTTTAAAATATATTTTATATTTTTATCAATAATTGAATTTGATATGGTTTAAAATAAAGTATTAATAGTTAAGATTAATTTTATATCATAATATAAATTGGTTTTTAAAAATCTGAAATATAATCCATAGAAAAAAAATATGTATTATAAATTTTAATATATTATAATTTATATATTTTAAAATGTATTTTTATTATAATTTTAATACATAAATTTAAATATTTTAAAAATATCATGTTATATCCAACCAACCCTAGTGCTCCAAAGCCCATCTACATTGCCCCAGATCAGAAAACAGAACACAACCAGACCACATAAAATAAGACTCCCACGTTTTCTTCTCTCTCCGTCTAACTCTCTCTCTTCATTTCTCATTGACTCTCTCTCTCTCATCCACTGGGCCAATGGCGGATCCAATCGAGAAGGCTCTGATCGCGTTTGCGCTCTTAGCTTCTTTGTTGTTGTGCTCACACGCTTCCTCTGACGTTCCCTTCATCGTCGCACACAAGAAGGCCTCCCTCAACAGACTTAAGTCTGGTTCCGAAAGGGTCTCCGTCACCATCGACATCTACAACCAAGGAACCTCGTATGCTCCGATCTATCACCAATCTTCCAATTTTTGAATTTTTAATTTTCGTTTTTTGAGATCCTAATTACCCTCTTTCATGCATGTCCTCTTTCATGCCTGAAATAGAGTTTAGGGAATTTTTTGTTTCGTGAATATTTGTACGGTTTTGTTTGTGCTACTTGGCTGCTACTGAATGTTGGTAAATATTACATATTTAAGCTGGATCTTGATTTTTGTAAGCGTTGTGGTAAATTAAGATGAAGGGTAATGTTTGATCAGCTTAGAATATGCTTTATGTGATTAAAGTTAGTGACTTTTTATTTATAAGCTATTGTTAAGTATGTGGGGCACGCCCCTTTTGCTTGTATGAGTTGGTGATGGTGAGTGGAAGGGAGAGTGATTTTGCTCTCGTGGTTTTGATCTGATTGTTGAGGAAATGAAGAGTTTCTGTACACTTTGACGATGCTTAATCTGATTTGAAAAATTGGTATTTGGTGGTGCTACCTGTAATCTAATGAGTTGGTGTTCTCAGACAATGTAGAAGTGCATACTGTGAGGACACCTTCAATTTCAGGTCAAACAATGAGAATGAACACTGAAATAATAAGGAGAATGAACTCTACAATGTGAAATCAAACGCACTATTAGTTTGCTGTCTTACTGGACTTCAAATTTCTTCCAGTATTTCATAGGATTGGGTTTAATGTCTGTCATGGACAATGGTAGGTTAGTAGAAGAGAGTGTCAATCGATGAGATGGGACTCTGTGCTGTGTATCAAGAGTTTTGGTTCCCGGTCTTATAATCTGTCGAGTTCCTTTATTGATCTTAATAACATGAAAGTTTAGGATGTTTATGTAAATGGGCCTTGTTGTAAAGTGCAATTCCTTGTCCTCTTGTTGAGTTGTTCAATTTAAGATTCTGTTAATGAAAAAAAAGAACAATATATTTTGTGATATCAATTTGTAACCTATGTTTAGTACTGAATTTTACTTATCTGTTTTCTTCTGCTGTTTCAAAGAACGGCATATGATTTAAGTTTATTGGATGAGAACTGGCCTAGTGATGCTTTTGACGTAATCACGGGCAGCACTTCAAAGTCATGGGAAAGGCTTGATGCGTGAGTTTCTTGTAGTTTTCTGCTCTGCTGTTTTTTTTTTCTTATATCCTTTTACTAACGAAATATGCTCTTTTCAGTGGTGGCATCCTTTCTCACACATTTGAGTTGGAGGCAAAAACAAAGGGATTATTTGCTGGTGAACCAGCTGTCATAAAGTTCCGTGTTCCCACAAAGGCGGCTTTGCAGGTTAATATCTGTTGTAATTGTTGTCTATTTTTAACTTTTGGTGAGAAACTTTTTTCTTACTATTGCACTGTTTTGCTATTAGGAGGCATATTCAACTCCCATATTGCCTTTGGATGTTCTTGCTGATAGACCTCCTGAGAAGAAGTTTGAATGGGTATGTTTCCTGTATGCTTGAACTTCATGGTTAGATGAATCAATATTAATTGCTTCTGTTGACTGATGTATTACCTTTTGTTTTCATGTATTGTGACCTGGTCGGACCTGATATCTCAGGCTAAGGTATGGAAAGTTATTCTATGTTCTCCGTAATTGCACTTCAAAATTATGCAAATGACATTATTTAGCATGAGTTACCTATTTTGGTAGTTGATTTTGCAAGTTATCGGTCGAGCATTATGACTGATTTCATCAGTTTTAAAATATGACAGCATAAAGTTGATAATTTTTTGGCATTGGCTAAGCTGTGCATTTTTCTCCCTGGATAGATGCGTGATTCCTCAAGAAAATAATGCAGTCTTTAATATCTTTTCGATGAAATTCATTGCTACCACTTTCTTGAAAGATAAAATGTGTGATTCATCTAGAAAATAATGCAATCTTTAAGGCATTACTTAATGTCAAACTTTTATTGTCCACAGAGGTTGCTGGCTAAGTATGGATCTCTAATCTCAGTGGTCTCCATCGTGGTGCTGTTTGTATATTTGGTAGCTACTCCATCAAAATCCAGCGCAAAAGGAAGCAAGAAGAAGCGTTAATCATCAGCAAACTAGTGCATTTGTAACCAGTCACTTTGGAGGCTAGATCATGGTATTCTGACTGTGGTCAGTTTTTACCTAGTTGTTGGACTTTCTGAATGAATGGTTAAATGAGTTAGTGAGAGTACAACTTAATTTCTTGACGGCTTAGCCTAAACATATGTTTTTGGTTCTCACTGGATGGAATGTATCTTTTAGCTAGCAAAAGTATTTAATTACCTGATCTCACAGCTATTTTGGTTTTAACTTTATATTCTGATGACCTTTTAAATTCGATTTTCATGGTAAATTACTTGCTCTTTCTTATCAAATCATAGCATGGCCATGGTAAACTTAGAGGTCCTTATACTTGTTCTCACTTTCCACAGTTTACTTGCCATTTACCTCATTCCCTTAGCGTTTGAACCTACTACCTCCTTTCTTGTCAGCCGATTTTTGAAACACTAGTGATCCAATAATAATTAAAAGAATAAAATGAGGTATGGGGTATGACAAAAAACCATTTGTTTGAACTCTTAGGTTTGGTTTCGTTGTGCCCGTTTACTTTATGCTGTTTGCAAAGGGTTTACGTTTTTTTCTGATTTGACATGTTGGTTAAAATTTTCTAATTTCCCTATACTTGTAACCAATAAGAATTTCGTCAATTTCTATTGAAATACGCCATAAATCTTGTTGTAAGAAAAATTGAAATAAACATTTTGTGTTGTAAATGTTATGTCGTGCAAACCATCCATCTTTCTTGGAGACTGATACTCCCGGAAGCATTTGATTGTCGAACACAAGTTTTTCATGGGGTACTATTCCCTACTATGCATTTCACAAATTATGGTATTCAAGTGAAAACACAAGAATCATCATCAATTACAAGTTGACCACGGTGGAGAAGCTTATTTTTGTAATAAGCAAGAATGGAGGGGAAAGAGATGGTTTGGTAGGATATAAGATGAGAAAATATGTAAGTCGGGAGGGATCCAATTTTATTTACTTTATTTTTCTCTCTTGCAAAGATGTAATGAATAGCAAATAAACACATGTTAATGTTGTCATATAGTCCAAAAATCTCTATGTTTGGAGATAAAATTTTCTTTTTTAATAATAATATTATTAATAATGAATAATTAAAAATATTTTAACAATAAATAAAACCATTTGTTATGTGTTTAGATACAGAGTTCTTTAAAAAAATAAGCTTTGCAAATTTATGAAAAGAGAATAATATGTTGACAAGTGAGTGGAATATATATACATATATATATCCAATGAGTCCAAGTGGCATGCCAAATCCATAATTCCCATCACAAGTGTAGAAAGTTGTCTTGGGGATGTCAGTAGGAACGACCAGTACCTTGAATGAAGGTTTATCTTACTGAAAATTTTGGTAGAGCCTAGTTCATCTACTGTATGGATGAGAAAATGATCCTTAATGATCACAATGTTCATGGTCTTGTAGTCAATGCAGAAGTACCATGTACCATCTCTTTTTGTGCACAAGAAGAACTGAGGAAGAATATGGACTACGGTTGTGAAAACAATGCTTTTTTGTTGCCTTTCTTGAATTATTGTAGCTTTTGTTTCCTTTTAAGATTAAAGGTATATGTAAGGTTTGACATTGATGGGTGGTGTGCTGGAAAGGACAGAAACATGATGATCATGAGGTCATGACAGGGGTAGGTCATTTGGTTTATAGTAGATAATCATGATAACATTAGGTAACAATGTGAGGAGGGTTGAGGTTCCACTAAATGCACACTAGTAAAGTAATAAGTGTGATGTAGAATGACATATCTTGTAGGAAGTTGGATTGCGGCATGAGTTGGGTCGATAACCTTGTAAAGTGACTAGGTTGGTTTTATGAGTGAACATTATAACATGGAACCATGAATATGAAGTTTTGTAAGAGAAGACTGAGGGTGAGGCATAAACATTGGCATATGATGGTATCTACATTAACAATCATGGGTGTTACCACAGTTAGACTAGAGGTGTAGTTGGAGAATGTTGTAAGAGTTACCAAATGTCAATTAGTATTTCATGACGAGATCTTGAAGTTAGTTGGAAGGGATTTTATAGGAGGGTTGTAATGCGTCAACTAACGGACTTGAGTAGTTAAATTTTTTTCATTTATATTAATAATAGACTAAAATTAAATATAGTTTACTTAATTAATGTATTAAACGAATTTACACGCATTTATTTTAAATTTTAAAAATAATTAAAATAATTTAGTAATCTAATTGATATTATATGTTTCTATTTTATGTAGTTTGTATAAGTCAAATATTTATCTAAATTTGTCATTCAGTTATTCATTACATCATTATCTTGTTGTTGCATGTTGCATCTGGATGTTTGTCATTTGTTCGTCACACTACTATGTCACTATGTTCATTGTATTTACTACGCTACACTATCATAATATTTGTCACATCACCTATTTCAGTCGCATCATAATATTTGTTGAGTTTTAGTTTTATGTTTCAATTATATCCTATGTTATCGTACCGTTAAGTTTTAGTCTTGTCATAATATTTGTTGTGTCATCGTGTTCGTCACACCATTACATTAATGTGTCATCACGTCATAACGTTTGTCATATTTTAATGACGTTATAAAATTTGTTGTATCATTATATTATTATATTTCATTTCAATCATGTTTATTAGAAAAGAAAAAAAGAAAAAAATTGAAGGTAAACAAAATGATGAGTGAGTTAACTTAGCATTCCATAATGAAAATAACCCATAATGAATTAAGGTGGGTGGTAAAGTTTCCGACTCAAAATAAGGGAAGTTTAACAGCTCAGCCAACTGCCCGGGTTGGACCCTAGATTTTGGAGATGGATGGCCATGAAAAATTTGTGGAGAAAGTTGAAAATGGACAAGTGTTTTTATCTGGATGTTTGAGAAAGGGTAGACATGTTAGGTGTACTAGTTACTACTTGATAGCAATCTATATTCTATGTTTGAATATTGGTTGATTTAAATTTTATGTTTTGGAAACTTGAAATGTGTTTAGTGATTATAGTTTAACTGAGAAAAAAACTCTTTATGGATTAGCTCAATATTAATATCAAAGAAAATATCAATTGTGTTGTGCTATGATTTTGGATTAACTAAATATTATTCTAGAATATGTCGAAATCAAATATCAGTTGTTTTATATATCCGTATTTTACTTATTGTCAATTAATGAGTTAGCGTGCGATTACCGTACTGTAAAATTATTTCAAAGAATTGCGTCTTACATCATTTGATGGGTGAAAATAAGGTATTTTATATAAATTTTTAGTTCTTAAAGATAAATATTTTTTAAAGTAGTTTATATATATATATATCTATTAATCTATCAAAATGTTTTTTTTTTAAATTAAAGTCTTTTATAAAGATAAAATCTAATGAAATATAATTCGTGTTATATCAAAATTAGAATATTTAAACCAGTATAGGCATCACTGTGAACAATTTTGAGGAGATACTCCTATAACGATATTTCAAGTTGGTAAACTTTGATCAATGATTATTGAACACCCTTTTCCAAAAAATAAAACAACCCCCATCTACTTTTAAATTAAATTATCAAAGAAACAATCAAATTTCCCAAGACAATGAAGGAGAACTCTAGAATCTAGATGAAACTGTGACTGAAATGGAAAGGGAAAAATTGCTCAGAATTGGTTTTGAGATAGATTTAAGGGAAATTCACAAAATTAAGAATGAAAACCTTCATTTATTCAAGCTTAAATCAGTCTTTTAGGGTCATTTGAAAGATGAATGCTTTGACGAATAGGCTCTTGAAACCAAATACATGAATGCTATGTTTTATTCACTTGCGCCAAACTTGGCAAATTGTTGATTAGAATGAAATCAGAAACATAGAAAAACCTTGGAATGAATCTGCTTTGAAATGTGAGAACCTACTTCTTCCCAATTCAGATACTATTCTATTCTAATTAATGCAGTTTGATTCATTTGCATATTTATAGATCAATCACACACACTTCAGATCTAGATTTACTACTCCCTTGAGGTCAAAACATTCATAAATAATTTAGACAAGCGAGTGAAGATCTTCACAACCTGAAAATGATGTCAGAACAGACATGAAACTTAACTGAAATATATAACAAGCATACACTCAACAAAATTTGTACAATAAAGTATCGGTCCAGTGCACTACAAACAGCAAAGTCAAAATTTTTAACTAAATCATACATCATAATAATCCAATACTAGAAATCACTGAAAGTTCTTTCCATTTTCTCCCCAACCAGTAGTGGGTGGCACAGCCACTCCTTGCACTACAAACTGTGAGATACCTTCTGAGAGGTGCTTAACTGCTTTGTCAAAATTGACAAAACCCATGAACCAAAAATCATGTCCATCCACCGTTACAATCTGAATGTACTTCTCTGATGGGTTCTCCCTCATGGTCACTGGGTTGACTGCTCCAACCTTCCCCAAAGGCACCATTACCTGTTACACAATAACACAATTCCATGTCATTGCACACACTAATAACATAATCCTTTTATGCAAACATTTATTTTGCTTATTAACTAAGTAAACTTCAATTATAATTGGAAAAGAATAAACAATTATAAATCCTTATGAAAGGTTAGGACTACAGGGAATCTCTACTCATACCCCATGAAAGTCTATGTGATCAGTTTTGTCTCTGATTCAATCAAACTGAAGTAATCGGGCAGAGATGTAAAATACCACATTTTAGAATTATGAAGAATAAAACTATCATTTTCAAAATATATGAACTGAAACCAATTTCAATCACATCTTTAAGGAGTCAACAGCAATTCTGATCAAATCTTGAAAGAACTAAAACACATTGTACCCTTCATGTAATTTACTCTTTCTATCAGTAAAGAAGAACAAAGCTTTAATGAAGTATTTTGACTAACATAAGTACCTTGTAGTAGCTCCAAGTTTCCTGGCCAGAGGGTGCGGTGAAACACAACGGACGATCACTGCAAAATGCTACATGAATATTAGACAGGTAAAGGGTTCCTGCAACAGGACCTGTTGAAGTTGAAAGATAACAAGCAAAGCTCTTCTTGAGTTTCTCGTTTGGATAGGTTGTGAATGTTTGCTTGTAAAGGGACTCAAATCCACCCTCAGATATCGCTTTCACCGTCAGATTCATCTTCCCCAGTGCAGCTGAAGAAACTGATGGACCTGTTTTAACTGCATGTAACAACAATCTAACAATCACATCATGTGAAAAATTAAAATATAATAGAGGAACATTTACCTACCTTTCCATAGAACAATCTCTAATCCATGTTATGACAAGAAAAACAACACTCCAAATTTAATTTCTCTCTTCTAAAAAATTTGAAGCTCACATCACATGCAATAACATTAGAGACTGAACATTAAGACCAAATTCACAATGTTTTATATGCAGTTTCAACTTTGCATTAATTAATTTAGATAAAACCAAATAGAGTGGAGAAACTGACGGTTGTGCCAGACGTTGTGGGCGGTAGCTTCAGCCTTTTTGCTCCAAGAATTGAACATGTGGAGAATGGACTCCATGGGACTGTTGCTCGGTTTATCCACGGGGCTGTGTTGCACGTATGGATGGTGTTCGTAGTACTGAACTGCCTGAGGCTGTCCGGCACCACCGCTCTGTAAAGCTGCCTTTCTGTTATCTGGGTGGCTGCTGGGAACAGCGGGGGTGCCCATGATGTGAGTGCCCCAATTCTCAGCGCTAACGTTGGGTGGAGAAGACGATGAAGATGATGCCACACCTTGTGATTCTGGAAACGGTTGGTTGTTCTGGGTGGTGTTGTTGGTGTTCATCTTTTTTGAAGATGTAAAAGAAGAGAAAGATGGATGGATTAAATCTTTGGAAGAATTGAAGTGTTTGGGTTGGTTGAGAATGATGCAAATGAGTTATGATATAAGTAGTTGAACTCCGAAGGAGAAAGTAAGACGCGGTTACGAGAAAGACAGTTAACACCGCCACCAAAACCGTGTGTTGGGAAAAAGAAAGCTTACGAGTTAAGATGCCCTGAATTTTGGAATACAATATTCAGGAAATGGTGGTCCAAACAACTTTTATGTACGAATCCATTTATTTATAAGAAATTATATTTATATACTATTATTTATATATTGCATCAATTATATACTAATTTATTAATAAATATTATTTCTAATGTTTTCTTAAATAATATTTTAAGTATTATTCTAGGTATTCCTTATTCTTAGGATTTCAAAGACTTTTTTTATTTATTTATTTTAAAAATGATTGTTGTTAGGGAGATGTTGAAATATATTTTGTGAATTTTTCAAAATTTTACCTCATTCACCTCATGAAAAATCATCATTGTTTATTAAATTTCATTTAATATATTTCACTAGATTAATTAAAGTGATTTTTTGAAAGACTTGAAAAAATATTAAAAAAAAGAATTAAGACATAAAATGAATAAGATATTGTTTGAGTTTATTTATTTAATAAATATTTTAAATAGATTTAGATAAAATTATTATAAGTAAAATTAAAATTAATTTTAAATTTTAAAAAGATATTTTTTAAAAAACAAATTAATTAAATGATTTATTATCTCATAATTGGATCATTCTAAAGAGAATAACCTATGTAAAAGTATATATGAGATTGATTTAATACAACTTATTTAAATAATTTCTTTGTTAGGTGGAACTTGTTTGTTTAATGCTACGATTTTACTAATTTAATTATTTTATACGCTAAAATAATTTATTTATCTTAGTGAGAGTGTATAAAATATTGTTATTATACAACTTAAAGATAAGTTGAGTCTTAATTTTAATATTCAATATTAAGTTTGAGCTACTACTTTACATTATTATTGTTTTTATTCTTTTGGTCAAATAAATATATTAAGGTAAATAAGATAATATTTTTTATTGTGTTTTTGAAATGACTATATTTTGTTTAAATATAATTAAATCTTGTATATTGTGTATATAACTAAACAATATGTATTTGATTATAAAATTATTAAAATAATTTATGAGTGATTAGATAAGCAAGTGTTATTAACTAAATTGAAGATATCAATAAGAATCTATAAATTTTAATGTCAAAACTTGTATCTAAATTAAGTTTTAAAACTTCTATGATATTAACATGTTTAGAACCTACTTTTTAACTTCTCATGATACTTAAAAACATATTATATTTAATCATATGTGTATTTTAAAGGATGAATTTGGTATAAATATGGACGATATACCAAAGTTTAGATGAATCATAATGTAAGAATATTGATAAAAATTATAAGATTATATTTTTGTTAATAATTTATATGCAAGTTAGGACTTAATTAAAAGTTTAAAAATGCTTTAAGTTTAAAGATTAAATAACATATTGTCATATCATAAATCTTGAAAAAAATATATAACTTTTGCTTTAACTGGACAAATTCACAATATAACCAGATTAGATTCATTTTTCACTTTTAAGAATATTTTTACAATTTTTTACTTTTAAAAAATAAATTAACAATAATTCATACTTTCAATTTAGGAAAAAAGAAAGAGAAAGAGAATGAGAAATATTTGAACCTATCCGTTCAAAAAGCAAAAGCACAAAATTTGAGAAGATAAGAGCACAATTCTTTTGTGTCCAAAAATGAAATAAAAAGCATGAAAATAAAATATAATTAATTATATTTATAAAATAATTTATTATGTTCACGATATAATTAATTATGCATTATTTCAAGTTTAAAATCAATTACAACTAACTATGTATAATAAACATAACAGATAGATTATTTTAATTTTAAATTTTAAATATTGTAAATAAATAAAATAACAATATTATTATTCATATATTGTAATAAAAATATTTATTTTATTATTTTTAATTTAAATAATTTTTATTTTCACTCTTTTTATTTATATTCTTTTTTATTTTTTAATCTTTTATCATTTAATCAAAATAAAGACTTGATAAAATCAATTATTTAGTCTTTATTGAATCACTTGTTGTTCCTAGAATAGATCTTTCTAATTATCAATTGTAATAAATGTTAAAGAATCATTTATTTCAAAATACCAATTAATTTAATTTTTATTTTAAAAAAATTGTAGGAAAAACAAAACCTGAGGATTGAAAAAGAAAGTGGTTACATCAATGACCTGTTCAGGGCATTGACTTCCTACGTGGCAAGTTAGCATTGGAACAGCGTGACGAACAACGCTGTCCCTCCAACAGAACACATACATTTGGTTTTCTTCCTCGTCTTCAAAGTTTCTTCTCCAACCCAAAAGAAAACAAAAAGCGCCCTTGATCCCAATTCCGCACATAATGGGTAATTACCAGAGAGACCCCTATTATCCTCCTCCAGGTAATATCATTCAATTAAATAAAAACCCTTTCTTTTTGCCTAAATTTTTCTACCAATTATCTTTCAATTTCAATCTACACAGGCTATGCCCCACCTTATCCGCCACCAGGTTACCCATCAGCGCCGCCGCCGCAGGGGTATGCAACGTACCCACCACCGCCGCCGCCTCCACAGTATCAAAGTTACCAAAGCTATTTCAATCAAGGGTACTCTTCGCCACCTCCTTCATATTACCACTGCCACCACGTGCAGCATCATCACGATGATAACCCCGGTTTTACTTCATTATTACAAGGCTGGTAGGTTTTTCTCTCTCTGTCTCTTTTAATTTTATTTTCCTTATTTATTGTTATTATTAGATTTAGATAAGTATTTGTTGTCTTTTTTTTTTCTCTTCAAAGAAAAATGCTATGCTGGCAGTTATTGCTTTCAAATTCCGATATGCATTATGTATAAATTCTTTCCCCTGTTTAAAATGTTAATCTAATCGTTTAGGATCTTATAATTTTTGTTGTGGGAAATTGTTGTAGAAAATGGATATTGGAATCTGAGTTCAATGAAAAACAAGGATTTTACTTAACTATTTCATTCATCGTAAGAGTTAAATTTTCATACATGATGTAAAGATTTTTACAATGTCAACTAATTGTAAACTAATATGGCCTTACTTTTAAAATAATTATTATAATGTCAACAAGTTTATCATAACATGTAAATTGTAAATAGATTATAATGTAAAAAAGTACTCTATTAGTACATTGTAATTGAATTTAAAAAAACAATGTTTCTGACGAATTGCCATAAATGAAATATATGTTTATGACTAACCATAAGTGCAACATTGCTGATTCAAAACAAAACATCACTCTCTTTTCATCCTCCCTAAAATACAAACATATAGAATTTCCTTCACAATGCAAACAGATTAGATTGCACAGGTGCTCCTGTATTTTGCCACAATAACTTATAGAAAACTTCATATTGTTGTTCACCTTTCATGTGACATCTGACCCTTGTAAACGTATAGAAATTTTCATATTGTTGTTCACCTTTCATGTGACATCTTTGTTCCTGCCATCTTTCCTTTTTATTTTCTTTCTTCACAATGAGTTAATGATGCAGAAGTAGAAATAAATCATTTGTATTTGATCAATGATAACCTTGTAGGCTGAGTATTCCGCTTAAGGTTTCGGTTTCATATACTTTCTAAAGAAAAGGGAATATCAATATTTTAATTATGCAGAAAAGCTTCCAAATGTTTACACTTAAGGTCTGTTTATTGAATGAACAGGAAAAAATATCAGAATAAGATAATCATACTCTATTTTTGAATAAGTTAATCCAATTCAACATATAGGATAAACTATCTAAATAAAAATAATCACAAGTCAAAAGCCCTAACGTCAAAATCAAATCCTAGACTAAAATTGCAAAACCACTCTCTAAATTGAATAATAACCCAACTCATTTTATAAATTTTTCCAGGAATACTATTCCTAGAAATCTCATGCTCAGGAAAGTAATTTAGTTTGGAATCAAAGATGAATGATTCCTTTTTCTAAGCACCACTCTAGGCTAATGTTTAGGTTGAAGACAAATGATAACATTGCCACTCACATTAGAACTTTGAATCTTGCTATGCACACAAACAGTCTCTTCATAATTATTTCTATTCAATGCAAGCTATGTCTAACATTGGCATTCCAATTCTAGATATGAGTAGCTAAAGACTCAGTAGAATGAGAAGGAATACACTCAGCAGGCTAAGGCTAAGGGGAGTAATATACAGAGAGTGTACACCAGGAGATATACAGTTAGACTGTTAGCATACTAGATGATCTCATAAAACTCACTTTAGTTGGAAGCAATGACACATGTACTATACTTGCCTATGTAATGCATAGATGTTTACGTATCACTCACTTCATCTCACCATCGAATAGCTTTTTAGAAGTTTACATGTGACAAGTTTTGTTGTGTAAATTTAATAACAGTTCGTTAAAACTGGCATTACTTGAGACCAAAAGTATTCTGGAAATCTAAAACAAAATCCTTTGGACAACCATGTCCCCTCTTTTGGCTACAACTGTTGGTCAGAATGGTTTGCCTGGAATCAAATCTGTAGTTCTAGAAGTATATCAAGTAAATATTGAATTTCTGGAAGAAAAATGACAAATAGAATGACCAGAGTCAATTTCTCATTAATCATTGAAGTCAACTGCCGATATTGTATTACTTCATCAATTTCATATTACACTACAAAAGCGGGTGATCCTGAACAATCAGAGTAAAATATAATCTAAAGGTCAAAATTTGCTTAAGAGTTACATTTTGCTGATGAGCTTATCCTCTTTTTTCCATTTAAATGCAAGTCTTATTCAATAAAGCATTATATTTGAGCATTTGGCAACACCCAAGTTTATTTACATGACTACAAGTTTTCCATAATATACAGAAATATCTTCTGGATTTCAAACATATGATTAAACAAAAGGAAATTCTATGCAATTGTTATCTTTCAGCTTGAGAAATCAACTTTTTCAATTAAAAATTCGTGTTAAATCGTTTTCTACTTTCCGTTTTATGTCCTTTATTAAAGCCTTTTTGGTTCTAAAGACTGAGATTCCTTTGTTCTTTTACATGTGCAGCTTGACAGCGTTTTGCTGCTGTTGTTTGCTGGAGGATTGCTTTTTCTGATAATCATATTAAAAGTTGTATCAGCAGTTTGGTGTACCTGGCTGTTTATAGCTCTCTGGATAAACGTTGCTCTAATGTCTTAATTCATATGTGCGGGATCTGGCAAGTATTAATCATTCTTGTAACTCCTGGGTCTTCATCTTCTTCCTCACTCATTTATGGGTTGTTCATAGGTATTCTGATGTGATATTTGTGAATTTCTTTGTGAGTGCTTAATGTATATTGGAAATTGTAAACAACAATATTTTTACGTGGAAACAAACTAATATATTATATTGTTCCTTGCTACCATTGTTAAACACCACTCATTTTTTATTGAATTGTGGTAAATCGTGGTTGAATTGAAGCAATGATTGAATGAGTGTGTTTTAAATGTATTTGTATTCCTCTAAAATGTTCTGTAGTTTTAATCTTTGTAAAAAGATTACTTGTTTCGTTAATTTCTATGTACCATCATTGTAATATAAATTATATTATCAACCAATCAGAAAACCACGATAAGTATTAATATTTTGCGACTGAGTGATAACGATAAAATCTTTAAATTGTGAGAGCTTATAATCTATATTTCAAATTTTATTCATTTGTAGTTTTCAAGTTAAACAAAAGTAAATGTCAGGAATTAAAAAACACGTTTATTATTTGTAAAATTCTGAAACTTAAAACACTTTAAGTAGAGAATAAGTTCACAAGTTGATATATTTTCATTGACAATATCTTAAAAGACTATATTATAACAATTCCATGTTTGTTATTTATAAATTTATCCCTAAGGGAGACACTTATAAAAGTTTAATGAAGTTAAAGACCACATAAAATCGTGAACAGGAAAAAATGATAAAAATTATTTTAAATATTAATATTAAGTCAATTCTATATGAATAATTAGGTTATGTAATACATTTTTATGTAGAGTAAGAATTAATGCATTTTAAATATTATGTCAACTAAATGATGAAAAATATTTTCAAAATTAATAACCTTAATATCATAATACTTTTTTTATGCAGAGTGATTAAACCTACATAACATGTAATATAATAAAAATTAAGATAAGCAACTTACTCAAACAATTTTAAATGAAAAAGTATATCTTGAAATGTACTGGACAAATGGTAGATTGGCACCATTTCAACATAGGAGGAAGCTGAGTTTTTAAACAGGCAACATCAAGCATTTTTCAATATTAGAGCCTTGAACCGGATTGTGACCAAACAAGCCTGTTTAAAGATTCTGAAGTCGGTTTTGAATCAGTCTCTTGCATTTGAATAGATCAAGGAAAAGACTGATTCTCAATTAAGCCGAACAATCCAGTTTGACTTTTAAAACACTGCTTAACACAAGAAGCTAGATCTTTATTATATTCTGTTTGGAAAAGAGATGTGTAACTAACACATGTATGGTGACTTGAGAAAGGATTACAGGTCGAACATGCTCTAAAATGTACCCAAGAATGAAAATAAATAAATTCGTACTTTGAAGGATAAACTTTAAATCAAATTTGATCTTGGAGCAATTTTGAGTAGTGGTTAAAATGTACAACTTATGATGGTTAAATTTCAGTTAAGTATAGTGACTTTATGATGATAGATGGAGCTGCATCAAGACTATTCTTTCACAAAAGGATTTGAAGAACCAATCAATTTATACAACCAACACTTTAATAGATATTGGGAAGAACTGGATAGCCAAAATTATTTAACAAAAATGAGTCAGAAGTGTTTATGATCATGCTGGAAAGCTCAGTATAGCCAGAATTTGTTTGGAATGGTGTTAATGAAAACGAAACCAAAGTAGATTCTTAAATATATGTTTCAGCTGAGAACATGCTCAACATAGAGGAAGAAAAAATGCTTGAACTGTGACAAGATCATGAACGAGCTCAAGTGGTCCCTCCAATATCATAAAGAGGGAGAAGAACAATAAAATCAGGAGTAGAAACTTAGCACTTTTCCATTCAACAAGTAGATTAGAAGTAAAATACTGAACTCCACTAATAATATACGTGATAAAAAGTGGCATATGATAGAATAATAATAACTAAGAAAAGGCAATCTAACATATGTATAGAACTAGCAAATGCAAGGAAGTGACAAAACACTACACCCGGCTAAAATTGCATTAATCAGTCAGCCTAGAAACAAGTACAAACATCTGAATAACAAGAAATTAAATGACCTAAAATGCACCTAGAGAGTCCATACATATTCTGGTGCATCTCTCCTTTTCCCAGCCACTGTACGATACAAATACATCTTCTCTACCCTCTGCCCATCTTCCAGACTACAATCTTCTTGCTCATTTTCATTGAAGATCTCCACATTCAACCTTGGCATCTTCTTAGCTAGCAACTTGCAGGCTCCGACGGTCACTTCGCATGATGACATCCAAAGGGATCGCATTGTTTCATACTTCCCTACGTCCGTCAGAAGTGCCATGTCGCCAAAAGGGCAATCTCTTATCTCAAGCTTCCTGAGTTTCTTGCATCCATTCAACACATAGAGCATTCCCTTGTCACTGTCCCCAGCGAATGCAATAGATAGCATTTCAAGCTTCTCAGCATACATTCCAATGTAAAGGAAAACCTGGTCAGTCAATTGCCCTGAGAGTGATAGGCGCCTGAGTCGCCTGCAAGACTGCACAATTGCACCGAAACCTTCGTCCAGTGGCTGCATTGTATCAGGGTCAGGTTTTGTTGCATCAAGGATGCACAACCTGAAGCGGATAAAATTGGGGCAGTTCTTAGCAACTGTGATGAGTGCAGCATTTGTCATCTGGTGGCAGAAGTAAAGTAATGAGTGAAGCTTAGGGCAACCCATTGATATTGCAACAAGTCCTTTTTCTGTGACAGCTACTGGATTTCCAAAGGGAACAGATGGAAACACCCTCAATTCTTGCAAATCTGTACATGTCTTAGCTACAACACCAAGTCCTTTGTCTCCAATGCAATCCATTATCTGCACAAGTGTAGGAATTAGTGATACTCACCAATAGAAGAATTAACACAATGAAAAAATTTCAAATTTGATGTATTTACCCATAAGCGCTGTAGTTTCACACAGTGGCGAATTAGTTTTATCAAATCACTGCCCTGAATGCCTGCTGCATAGCTCAAGTTTAAGGATGTTAAATTAGGGCAAATAGGATATATAGTTGCAAGACAGTGAGGAGCAACTTCCAAAAGCCCTGACAAACTGGTTATGGACTTGCACTTGAGAATGGTGCTCTTAAGCTTTATGTATGCCTCCGATTCTGGATCTTGGACAAATGATCCAATTCCCAAATCCGCTAGTTGAGGTGCTCGCATCATTATCCTTTGCAGTGCATCAAGGGGCACTGAACGATTCAGCTTCAAACTCTTAAGGTTAGGAGACCTGGCCACAAGTCTCTCTAGAGCTCCCAAACTAACCTCTCCTTTAAGGCAAGCAAAATTAAGAGAGACAAGTGATGTACAGCTATCGGGAAAGCAACTTAGCCACTGGCCTTTGTGATCTTCAACTTCATTTTCTTGCAGATCCAACTCCCTAAGATACCTACATTTCAAAACAAATAAAACATAAGCAACATTGGGAGTCAACAACACATTTCAAAATCCTCACTATGATCTCAATCAGCAAACAGATTCATCAACACCATTCATCCTTCACACACATCATATACAAAACCGATATTATTTTGGAGGACCATGATGTTCAAAGAAAAGAACTCCTAATCAGTACAATTCACAAACAGGCAATAAACTTTTAGTGGGACAGATCAGTCGAGTTCTCAAGATCCTCTTGGGCACTAGCTTGTCTACAAAGCTTGACATGTACCAAAAGCAAGTTCGATATCAATCACTTAACGATTTTAATCAACTAATTAAACTCCTTTTTCTCCCAAACTAGTAGCCACGAAGAACAAAAGCTAGTAGTCACCTAAAAAATGTCAACTAGAAACTTCGACAGCACAATAAGACAAAGACAAAACTAATCAGGACATACCTTCAACCGTATATCCTCCAAATCACAAAAACAGAAGGAAACCATCAAAATTGTACCACAAACCAAATAAAATGCAAACACATACAAACCCACAAAACTTGTACAACAAACCCTTACATCTAAACCAACAAAGGATTCAAACACGCTACTTCATTCTCACCTGCAATTTGCAGCTATAGCAGCAAGGCCATCGGTTGAGAACCCTTCACAGCTAACTAGAACCAAAGACTTGAAGTGTGTGAAAGAACGAGAAAGTAGCTCCAGGCTCTCATCCGTGACCACCATCCTCTTGAGCCTAAGCTCCTCCAACCCAACCCTGCTTTTGGCCAGTGCCTCAATCCATGGATACACGTAGCCACCCCAACCGTAAGGAACCAAACTGAAGTCAGCAAAATGAGGTTTTCCCTTCAAAGTCAAAGACTTGAGACCAGGAAACCTCTGGAACAACCTCTCCGGAGTGACAGAGTAACAGTTCCCTATGAACACCCGCTGCCTCGTACACCTCTCTATCCTGTACCAACTTTTACACACCAAAGACAAAGCGTTCCGGTCACGGTGTGACACCACATAGTCAAATATGTGCTCTATTACCTCGTCTGGGAAATAATTCATTTTTTTTGCTTGACTCTTCTCTATATCTTACTCAGTGATCCAAACTCCCCAACTTTCCAGGAAAACTTTCATAATCCAAAGGGGGGTAGGAAAAAAAAGGACAACCCCACAAAGGTAAAGCCCTCAAATTTGAAGTTCTACGACATCATCAAAGAAACCAAGATCTAAAGCCAGAAAAAGGGAGAACAGATCTAGGCTGTAACGAGAGAGTGAAGTAACAAGATCTTCAAATCTAGAACATGAGGAAAGTCTAAAAAGAGGGCACTGATAAAAACTGAAAATTTTATACTTCCCAACTTGGATCTGCTTGAAGGGTAGCCAAAAAACTCAATTTTTATCAGGGAAAAAACAACCAGAGAAAAAACAATTGAAAAATGAGGTGGAAGAGAGGAAACCCAAAACAGAAAAATTATGATCTTGCAAATCAAATGGTGATGATGACGATTTAGAAACAGGATAAAACAATAAAAAGGAGAAATAGGACAGATCTGAGAAAATCCAAGTATCGCACAAATCTTAATTTGCACTATATACCGAACCACCCAAGAGATGAATGAGCTTAGAGCTTAGAATGAGAGAAAGACTCAAACCCTTGATGCCACTCACTCACATGTTGTGTTAAAACAAAAGCCGGAGAGTGAGAGGGGTAAGAAGAGGAGGAAAGAAGAAGAAGGAGAAAGAGGAGAAGGTGGTGGAGGTGAAATGAAAGGAAGGAAGGAAGTAATCCAATTGGCCGAGTTGAGTGTAGATTTATTTAACCATGGTTACCTTATCCTAACTTAACTCAACCAAGAAGGATGGTTGGTTGGGGGCTTTCGAATGAAATCAGAGAAAGCGCAGGCGTCGATTTCGATGATGGGATATTGAGAGAATCTTGACCGTTGAGTGCGTGAACATGCATCAGTCCTTGTCACTGCTTTCCAAGTGAGCCTCACCCTCTGCTAAAGTCTCACTCTCTCTGCTAAAAAAACACAGTCTCTGAGAAAGAGAAAAAGAAAGAGAAAACGGCATGGACAAATAGAAAACGACTGTCGGATTAATGACACCTGCTTTCGGGAAAAACTACTAAAATGCCATGCCTAGGTCTTAGATAACTATGTAGATAAGATCGAATGTGGACTTGACACGAACCTACTCCGCGCGTCTTTCACAATCGCGCGTTTTGAACATGTTTCTTCATAATGATACAGTGAAAAAGTGGTTATAATTAGCACAGTCATTAATTATATTAAATACATGTTAAAATTCATTAGAGAGAATTTCTAGCTCTCCATTGTTTAAGGATTAAGATTTTGATTAAAAAAATCAGTAATGTAATTAATCTTTTATATTTCATGAAAAAATATAATAAAATATTAAGTTTTTAGTCTATTTTTTCCGTTTTAGAATAAATTATTAAAGGTAGAATAAAAAATACCAAAGACATTAAAATTTATTATTTAATTTCAATAACGTGGTAAAATATTTTACCTTATAAAATAAAAGTGAATCTGATACGCATAAAGTAACTTAATCTCTGACAATTTAATTAATATATAGTAATAAAAAAAACTATTTTAATCAATTTGATAACTTAATAATTATATTTTTAAGATTAATTATATTTGTAAGAAAACATCAAATTAATTTATAATTATCACGTTTAGTTAGTAATTATTGGTAGGACTGTGCATTATTTGAAGATGATTGAAGGGTGAAATTCATCTCTGATTTCTGTATCGAGAAAATCATCTCTTATTTGTCCTATTCTCGTAACGAGAAGACAAAGACTTGGGGTTAAAAGATTTGTTGGTCCATTTGTTTTCTCGTATTTTCTCTTTTCAAATGAAAGAGAAGAAGACTATATTTGTGGACTTTTTTTTCATATATTTATTTTGAGTTTTCGTTATTTTTATTTTATGTGACACTCAATAATAAAAATAAATATTTTTAATAAATAAATGTATTATTTTTACTGAAATTCTTCTACACGAAGTAAATGAGAAATTGCAAAGAAGAAAAAAATGATATTGAGAAAGAGAAAGAGAAAGATTTTGGTTGAATTTTGCATGAACTTGAAGTGGTAATAAATGGCTATATTAATTGGGAGTTACACATGATTTCTTCTTCTTTGTATTTTTGCCTTTTGGGTCCTTTGATGATTCGGTGCGTTACGGTGCACCGTACACTCGCAACAGGTCCACGTAATTGGTTACATCACTGCGTTCATCACATCAGTCCAAGTCCATGATAGGGACCGTACAGACCACCGCAGGAGATAGAAAGAGAGAGGGCTTTGTGTTTTCATTGGATAAGGCATTGTTTGGAATAATACACCAATCATAGTGATGGAGTTGAAGGATCAGTGCCAAAATATTAAATTTTTTATTTTTTAAGACTATTATAACAATAATTATAGATCTTTTTATCACCCTTTTTTTCTACTAATCCTTTGTTAGTTTAAAAATAATTTTTATGGGATTTTGAGTTTTAAAAATTAGATTTCTTGTATTTTGAAATTCTCTGTTATTTCAATTCGGTATAAATGTTTATGTGTTTTTCTAAAACTTTTTTTATATATATACAATTATGTATTAATAATATAGTTTATATTCAATAAATAATATTTTTATCTAATATGATATATACCAATGTTGTTTATCTTAAAATGTATCTTATTCTATTTTTACATTTTTAATTCTATCATTTATATACATATATAATATCATAAATAATATATTATAATAGCATGAAAAGTTAATTCAGTTTTATTTCTCATGGTTATGACTAGATTAGGTTCATAAAACCATTTTATAAAAAATTTAGTCTGCACAAAAATATAAATTAAGTTTGAAATTGAAATTATCATTAACCGATTGATTCACAAATTTGTAAATATTAACTAAATTATTATAATAATTTAAATACATATAGTAACATAACTTTTTAATGTGAGGAACTAAATAAAAATTAATTTTATAAATTATTTACATTTAAATTATGCATATAAAACCTAAATGTAAATATTTTATTATATTTTAATTTCAATTAATAATAACAAGTTTATGTATAGAATAGAACAATTTTTATGTATAGAAGAGAACACAAATATTTTAGGTTGATTTTTAATTTTTAAAAAAATTAAAATTGTAATCTATTAATTTATTGTTTACTATCTGTTTATTGATTTTTAATAGGACTTATAGTTTTTTAAAAGTAAATTTTGTCAAACAATTTTAATTTTCTAAAATATGATATAATGTGAAAGATATAAATACCAAATTAATTCAAAAATAAGATTGAAAATTAATAAAATAAAAATAGTCAAATTTAAAAAAAATGTATTAAAATCTTTTAAAATTTATAAATTTAATTTAATATTTTTAAAACCAAACCGGTTATCACGGTGAAAATATAAGCTCAAAATTTAAATATTCAACCAAAATCTAATCAAATTTAATAAAATAATATTTTTATAATATAATAAATTTATTAGTAATAATATTTTTATATAAAAAATAATAGTTGTTATGATAATCATTATAAATCATAATAAAAATTAAATATAAAATATATTAAAAATATAATATGAATAATAATTAAAATAAACATAATTATAAGATAAAAATTTAAAATATATTATATTTTTTATTAAAAAAAGTTGATCTTTAATTTTTTTAATAAAACCGATTCAATAAAAAATTTGGTTTTTCTAATTTCTCTAATTTATACCAATTTTTTTAACTTTATTAAAATTTTATTATTTAAAAATAGCATACCAATTATTAGTTGAACGGAGGTGATTTTTAAAACATTTAATTTGATTTTTTATTTAGTGATAAATCATCAATTTTAAACCAAACTAAAATTATAATATATAATACTAAAATTAAATTATAAAATAATATTTAATGTAATGAGTTAATTAGTTTCTTATAATATAAAAAATATATTATTATTTTAAATAAAAATATAAGAAAACTTAAAATTACAAATATTACATTTGTATAATACATCTTTTTATTAAACAATTATTTTATTATAATATATTTAATAACTTTATAATAAAAAATCATAAAAATATATAAATTAAATTATAAATTATTTTATTTGCTTTTTTAAAATAAAATTATATTTAATTGTAATAATTTTCTAATACAGAATCGAATGACTTGATAAACCCGTAATAAAATCCACTTAATAAAAAAAAACAGGGGTACGATCCATGAATTTGAATTAGTTGTTGGTTATTAGGGACACTGGCCCTAGCAAGGGTGTGAGGGAGACATAATTGTTATTATTAAACCTACGTTTCTTGTTTGTGATGTGAGAGAGTTCTTCTTCACTCACTCGTTTACTTCAGTTAAATCAATTTGAAGAGACGTTGGCTCTTAGACCAATTCGTGTTGGTTTCCACTTGTTTTCGTGTAAAGGGGCGTTTTCAATTAAAACAAATAACTTTTCTATGATTCCATCACATTCTTGTTCTAAAGTATTCTACTTCAAACATGAAAAGGTTTATGTACGTCAAAAGGGCTGGATAATGCATGGGACATGGCTCAGTTAAGATCAACAATTCAAACCTCGTCTTCTTCAAATCTTATCCCTATGAGATGCTTCTTGATTCAACAATATGTTACACATTTTTTAAGAAATTTGATCGGTTTTATTGAGTTTATGTTGGATGTGCCCCACACAAGGGTGAATAAAAGAAAAGCTTAAATATCAATTGATTTTAGTAAAAAGTGCTCAGTAATTAATCTATGTAAATTTAGTAGATTTTTTATTTTAACTTTTATAAAAAATAATTCTTTATAAAATTTAAAATATTTTTTATTATTTATAAAATGCCTCTAGTTATGGTCTTCAATCGTGTTTTGCTTAAACTTTTATCCTCAACGAATTTTTAATCTCTAATATTTATTTAAAATGGATTAATAACATTTATTTAATGAATAATAATATTGTTTTTAAAAATTATATATAGATATTATATTCAACACTAATATTTATCACTTTGA